CACAGAGGGCGTCACACACTTCAAAATAAAGTCATACAGAGCTTAAAAGCTGTTGGTGGCAAAAACTTAATAACAAGGCAACTTATATAAATATTTGTATAACTAAAGGCTTATATGTGTAATTTTATCATTTCTGGGGGAATTTTCTGCCTTTATCAGACAGTGATAGTAGAAACGACAAACGTCCACGGCTGGATTCAAACCAGGAACATTGTGATTCATGTGTGAACCAATAAGCCATGGAGACGCGGACGGAGCTAATGGTTTTATTTATGAGTTATATATAACTTACATTTACTAATGCTTCGTAGCGCACAGGAAATCTAAATTCCTTCACGTTTCACCGTTCAAACTTTAAAAATTCAAAATAAATCTGACAGATGTTTGCCTCACTGCAACCTATGATCAGTTCTCAATATGTGGATCAATTCACATCAATATATCTATAAACTTTGTTTAAAATGCTACTACTTTTTCCCTGGGCAAAAATGGCACATTCACAAACCTTACATGGACGTGTTCACTGAAAGCAGCTGAGTCTTCTGATATAGGCCACGCCCATTTTTGCCTGTCTTGAAATACCATGAAATATGTGAAATGTAGTTTTTCGAAGTCCTTCTAGGCTGTGAGTCCGATCAGCACGAAACTTTGAAGCTAGAATCTACAGATGCTCGTGATCAAAAGTTGTATGAGGACTAGCAGTTACAAAGGGACAACTTCCCCTTGTATATCTTCACTTCTTCACTTCACTTCTTTCGACACAAAACTTAGGACAGTAGTTCCTCACGTCACTCTGAGGGTCAGTACGTAATTTGGCACTAATTGGCCACTAGGCGGCGCCACAAACAGTTCCGACCTGCGCTGCCTCGACGGGCGGCCGGGTGTGAATGGCTCAGGGGGCTTGGACCCCGTTCGTACCTGCTTGCAGGTATCTGTCAGCCACTAGTAAGATCAAGTTTACAGCTGCCAGGATGTGAAAATCCATTTGTTAAATAATTAGCGTTCCAGGAGGTGTCACCTTTGTCACAGAGTCAGATAAGATAAACGATTTTTTGAAACACCTCATCACGAACAACTCCACAATATTTATCTTTGAGCAACTTTTACATATTAAACTAAAGTATTCTATAATCAAGTTATTTTAAATCCACACACAAGCCTGAACCTGTGCCCACCAAAGTAAACTCATATCTCAGGTCCTGAGGTTCCTCCCACGCTGTGATTATTGCCTTCTTATTCGTGTTGGGCAGTTCCCAGAATAACAAGTCTGCAGCTTGAAGGAGAGCGTGTGTGTTACTGAGCTAAAACCTGTCAAAACCTAATTTTCATGCGCTCATTTGTGCCTCTCTGTGGCAGTGTTTAGGACACAGTGAAATGGGAATACAATTAGGCACCATGGAGAGAATAACAAGTGAAGCAGTGTTTTTCTTTGTTTACAGCTTGTTAATGTTCAAGAGCTCTGGAGAGAATTCCTCTGACAGCACAGGAGGAGGCAGAGGTTACACTTCTCCTCAAGCAGCTGCTTCTCCTGCACGGGCAAACCCCCCAGGAAACCCCGGGACATGTTTAGTGTTTGGAGCTGAGAGACAACACGCACGCCCACCTGGAACTGAGGTGCCGAGGGCCACGAACACCACGGCGGTGACCGAGTCTTTGAGGCCGACGGTGCAGCCAAAATGAGAGGCCAAGTCCCCGGTCACAGCCGTCAGAACGCCAATGAGGGAAATGGAGACAAAGAAGCAGGCCCAGCCGTTCCAGTACTCAGTGGGCGGGACAAAGGCGAAGAGGACTTTCCAGAAAACTGTCAGGAAGTGCATAATGTAGTCGAAGCAGGATGGCAAGCGTTCCTCCCCGCTCTCCTCCTCGTCGTCGTCACCTGGCAAAGACAGAGAAGAGATGCATGGCCTACAAAACACATGCACAGAAATGCCTCTTGAAGACCGTATCCTGCAGAATACAAACCCGATTCAGACCTGTGGTTTTATCACATCTTATTCAAATGATGACAAATCATAAAAAAGATGGTGAAACAGTGAAGAGATCCAGCGTCTTGCTTGAATCAAACTCGAATAACATCTCTTACAATAAAATCCAGCCAAGAATAAACTAACGGCGCCACAGCAAATCCATCTGACGAATGTGTGGGAGCTAACCTTTTCAAATCATTACATTAAATCTGTAAATATAGCAATGACTCAGTGACTGAGACGTACACATAGGCAGGAAGTGTACCTTCTATTTATATATTCACTCTCCGCATGCAAATCTGACTGACCTCAACCAGAGAGAGAAGAGAGAGTATTAACTAGATGATACGTCTCTGGTAAGTCAGCTTTTAGCCCAAATGCTTTGTGCACTAGTGCAGATCTAAAAGGTTCACAAAGCCAAATGAATGGCTTTCGAAAGGGCAAAATAAAAAGGGTTCACCATACCACATACAGTACATTGACATAAATTCTTCAGAGCCATTAATTGTTCAGGCAGAGCTGGCCGGTTTAGTTTTTATGGTGCGCCACATGAGGCATTCACCATGTCATGCATTTTTAATAACTTGTCTGGATTAGAAAGAGGCAGCGAACAAGCACAGAACTGCCAAAATGTATTAAAACAGGCTTTGTTTTTCTAAGCTCCTTCATTCATTATGCTAAATTGGGCTTTTTTTAAAAATGCAGCCAATGTCAAACTGGAGCATTTGGGATTATATTAAAGAAGTACCTTTAAAAAAACACACACACACAAACATGCAAAAAAAATAAATAACCCAAAACAAAACAAGAGCGAGGCCGGTGAGAGGCAGCAGGTGGGCCAGATCCGGCCCGCGGGCCCAGTCTTCCACTGGCCCGGTCTCAGAGGGATGAAGAGACGAGACACTTTGGGACGCCACGACTCACCTGCGCTGACAGTGACAGCGCTGACAAACTGCTCTCTCCAGCTGCTGCTCCCCACCACCAGAGCCAGGTTCGTCTTCTTGATCAGCTTGTCCACGGTGCTCTGCAGGAGGACACGGAGACGCAGACAGCAGACAGACAGGTTGGAGGCCTTTCTTCTGTCCACAGGTATGAGATATTAACACTGTCATATGAGACCTGAGGCACTAATGTGGTGAATTAAGATGGAATTAACTGTGTCTCTTCTTCTCCCACTGCGGTGCATCGTGAGTCACCAGAACAGATGCAGGGGACCACAAAACCCCACGGTCCCTCAGGATACAGGCACTTTGCCAGCGTAAAGCTGCTTTACACCAGTGCAGAGAACAGAGCATATGATACTGGAGCCCTAAGTAACAGTAATATCATGTTACAGCTTAAAGCTCCATCCAGTCTAAAGGTCTCTGTCCATGTGTAGTGTGATTATAGATCAGGTCTAGGTTCTATATTAATACTGTGAAAGTATCAAAGCCTCAGTCCACAAATATGGAGCTTCAACTTTGGTGATTAAACCAACTTTACACATGAAGCTCAGTTCACTCATCATGAGAATTACTTCACAAACTTGTGACAACAGTTGGAAAATATCTGAAAAATGAACCCTGGTGATGTCACTGGGAGGCTCTAATAAATTTGCATTATGGGAAATGTAGGATCCAGCACTATTTGAGTTGTGAATCAGGATCAATGAGTCAGATTTTAAGCATTTGCTCATTGATTCAGTCATTTTTGCATCTTGAAAGTTTCCCCCAACTTTATGGCAGTGGAAGACAACAACAATAATAATAATAATAATAATAACTTGGATTTTTATAGCTTTACAGGGACAGGACAAAACAAGTGGAGAACCCTTTAAAACTACATTACAGTTAAATGACAATCTTCTCAACGTATTAGACTGTTCAGGCTGGAGAACGTGAGGACTGAAGGTCTCCACTGGCAGGAGCCATTAGTTATATGCACGTAACTAATAATTTATCATCCATCTGTGGTTGCATTAAATATTAATCTCAAGCAGTTATACGCAGCATAATATGAAATAACACTTACAACACATATTTAATGAGAAATATTGACGTTGTATTTTGTCTCTGTCGACCATGAACAAATTGAATGAGGTTAAAGCATCTTCGGAGGTCGGGGATGAACACTGTGCTGATGAATAATTCAGAGAGAATACTTGTTGATGTCATGCTGTTTGGTTTGTTTATGTGCTCTCATAGTGTCTATAAAACAATTTAAGGATTAGAGTGTTGTGAAAATCCAAAGGAGTTTTTGACTTACCTTAAATTCATAAGACTCCTCGATGACCACCTCCAGCTTCGTGTGCTCTCCCAGACAGGGGCAGCCCATCTTTGACACGTCCTCGGGTCCCACCACTGTCTTGTTATCGTTGGTGTCTCCTGCGGCAGAAGAAACTGTCAGCCAGTGGACTGAGGAAGAGATTCGTTACAAAACACGACACAGTATCTAATGATAATGAGAGCCGGTCTTTCATGAGCAGTACATACAGTGCATGGGTCCAGCTCAAGCTTTTGTCTGAATCTCGAATAACAATCATAATCGTTCTAATGATCCCGCCCTCAGGGGATGATTGACAAACAAGTGTCACCATGGAATAGACAAATAGAAACTCAACAGGTGGAATGGAGTTTGAAATAATGCTATATATTTATTTATCTATTGGATACTTATTTGTTTGGATACATACTTCATTGCTTATATATTTATTTCATTGCTTACTTATTCTATTAATTTAGGGAGAGATAGTTTTAGTTTTCACTTGATATTTATTTATTTATTGTCTTGTTTCTATTTTCCAGCACTTATTGATTTTATTGTCACTGTGTTAATTAATGAATTAATTAGTCTATGTGAAAAGGACCCTTATATGATTTGATACACTGCGGACGTGGGAAAGACTTGGATAGTCTCATAGTCTCGCGTTGCTTCATTCCATGTGAGACTCAAAACAGAGGTCGACCCCCCCTCAGAGGAAAGTCTGAAACATTTTTTCTTTAAATGTGCAGCTGTATATGTTTATGAATTATACAGGACAGCAATTGTCATATTAATAATGAAGGCTATCGATCATATTTATGAATTATAGAATAATTAACTCTTAACCTTCAGCCTCAAATCTAGGCAGTGGATCAATTAGCATGATCAATCTGCTGATTGTTGCCTCTTTACCAACATTGGTTATTGTGTAAAATGGGCTAACGTAGATTACAATAAGAGGCAGTTGGCAATATACAATTAAACACTTATTGCCTTTATTCTGATGACAGGGTCGGACTCCAACCTGACTCACTAACACTGATGACGCGCTCTGTCAGGTGAGCTATGGAAGAGCTTCAGACTGACCTCACCTGAGAAGGTGAGCACAGGTGTGTTTTCTCAGAGCAGACAGAGCTCGTCAGTTACTGCGCACTGATAAACTTCTCCAGTTCACCTGTAGGTTATAACGTGGTTTTACTTGACCTTACATTATGCAGGTGTTGTACAGGGCAGGTGGTGACACTAATCAGCAGGTTTGCTCCTCTGCTCTTGCTTTCCCTTCTTTCTGTGACGTCATCTTCTTTTCCACAATCGACTGTTCTGGTCTGCTTGTATAGTCCGTGCGCGCGCATACTGCAGCTTGTCCAGGCCTGGTTTGAGTTGACGTTGACGAGCATCGGCTGAACTGCGTTAATGGAGCAGCTCGAGCCCGAAGCGAAAGTTGACGTTAATTGTAACAGGGCTTTTTTAAGTCAGCGCAGATCGCCTTAGAGGCGCTGATGGAATACCCAGGTGCCCTCCTCTGTCAGCTGATGCGCACCTGCTGCAGGTGACTCAGGTCCACAGAGTCATCAGAGCTGATCCAGAGAGGAAGGATGCCGACCGTCAACCAGGAGACGTGGGATCGAACCTGAGGTACATCACACGTGTGTGTGTGTGTGTGTGTGTGTGTGTGTGTGTGTGTGTGTGTGTGTGTGTGTGTGTGTGTGAAAAACAAAAAACAACAAAAACTCAAACACTAAAAACTTCTAATCCTGCGATCAACTTCAACTGCTTCGATTTCTCCGTGGTGCGAATTTCCACGATTTCCAACGAGGAGGAAACCGAACAGGTACGAACAGGTGAGCCCTGGTGTCCAGCTAGCTAAGATAGCAGGATGGGCATTTTGGCTGCTTTTGTTTCCGCTTGACATAATCTGAGTTTCTGATGTGGAGGATGAAAAATTTATTTTAATTATTATTGTTATTATTATTGTTATTATTATAAATAATCTAATACAGGAAGTAGATTTTCGTTATGTTGTGCTTTTATTTTTGAACCCTCTCTGTGAAATCTGTTTCCGGGGGCTACAGGTATTAGTACTAGTATTTCTTGAGTTTGTTGTCATTTATTTGTCCTGCATTAGACAGAGGTCATGTGTACTGTGTGTATGTAAATGTTGATGATGTTAAATTTTGTTTGCTAAAGTTAGTGGAGTGGTCATGAGCCTCCAGTGTAGAGTTGACATATATACCAGGTGAGAAAGCAGCATTGTGTGTCAGAGGGGGGGGGGGGTCGGTCAGGTTGTGTCACCGCTGTGGTTGGAGTCTGCTGCACCAGAGAAGCTGCTTCTAAGATTTGTACCATATTTTTGTCACCTCTTTGAAACCGTTTTTTTTTTTTTTTTGCACGAGTAAAAAGAAAACTCTCTGGAACAAAAAACCCTGCTGCTGCTCTTTCCTTCAGTCCTGCTGGCTTCCATCCTGTTTGTGAGGATTTACCACCATCCAAACCTTTCAGATTTAAACTGCACAAGCCCCAAAAATCTAAATAAAATATAAAGGAGAGTGGCTGCTAATTAAAATGTATTTTAAGCCATAAAATAATGAGGACCACTCTGCTGCTGTAGCTCACAGCTGTGGCCTTCATCTCACCGTGTCTCTGTCCCACCTCCAGCAGGATGGGCTCCTCCAACACAATCGTGAAGGTCTTGTTCTTCTCGTACTCTTCATCGTCGATGATCTTCACATTCAACAGCTTCCTAAAAGTGAGGTCAAGAGAAAGAAGAAACGGATGGACCCAAAAGGAGAGATTAATTCATTAATTAGCTTTATTCAGGGAACGTGAGCGAACCTTTTTTTTGTTACCTAAAGCCAATCAAAAATAGATCCCAGGCAACCAGTGAAAGCAGCTTCTAATGCTTGTGCTTTTGTACACACTCGAATGAAACCAGTGCAGCCAAGAGATAGACTGCCTACACAATGAATCATGAATCAGAGCTGTTAGATAAGAAGATGGCAGCTCAAGATTTTAAGGAAATTAACAAATACACTGTAGTGCAGAACACTATGTACTATATGACATATTGAAATGCATTTTTTTTCCCAGCATCCCACAAGAGGGCGAACTCCTTCTACACCATTAATCCGATTAGAGTATAGAGAGGGAAATAGCCCACACCCCTCCCACACACTTCAACTTTTAAGTCAAGAGAAATTGAATTATTTTTATCTTGTTGTCTGTGGAAATTAAGCGCTGCCCATCTACGGCTGCATGCAGGTTAAAGCCAGTGTTAACCCGACAAATGCGCGTGAGGCTGTGGCATCAGTCTGTGGCCGACATGTTTTCCTCAGCCCGCTTCGTTCTCTCACACTGTCACAGTGAGTCTTTCTCGCCCTTCTCCCTCCATCTCCCTAATGATATGTGGGTGGCTGTCTATTTCTGTCTACACATATTCACTCAGGATTCGACAACACGCAGGAACAGCTTTTGCTTGCAGAAGAGAAGAAGTTTATTTTAAACATGAATGATACGTCACCGGCTGTCAAATGTCAGAGAAAGTCATGCCAGTGGGAGCGATAGGGAACCGCAGCTCAGCCTCGAGTCCTCACAATGGAAACAAAAGACTTCATCTTTTGAACAAGCTGCTTTTTCAAGTGCTATATGTACAGTTACAAGGTGAGTTTACTTTGAAGCATCATGGAGAGGCCCTAAAATAAAATATGACTGTTCAGTTGCTATGGACCGTTTTCACGCAGCAGCCATTTTGACATTACATCACACTTAGGGCAGATACTGTTTGTCCTGCTGCAGCATTTCAACATGAACAGAATGTATCTGTCAGCGCTCGGACAAACATTCACGTTTCGTGGACCTCTGACTAAACTAGACATGAAAGGCAGCAGGGAGGAGGGTTCACCTGCTGCATCGGGCTCATTAGCTGGTTGTTTAAATCTCAACCTCTGCCGGAGTCCAGCGCTCATTTGAAATAATTTCAGACAAAAGGTGGATGATAACAAGACCAAAGATGAACAAATCAACTGAGACTAAACTGTTATCATGAATTAGTCTTACAAATATAGTTTTTATATATATATATATATATATATTTTATTTTTTTTCAAGACTGAACCATAAATACAACAACTGAGCAACTACAAGGAAAAATTTAAAAATATCTGCTTCAATGAAATAATGAAGTACATCAGTCCCATGGAGCTTCAGCCTTCAGCTGATGGCAGAGTGAAGATCGCTGAGCATTGTAGATCCAATAAATAACTCACATTTGGACAAGTGAATCTATTGTGAATAAGAATTGTCACTGAGGCTCATGGGTAGTGTAGTGTCAGGCACAAATTAACATATCAAACTATTGCAGTATTATTGCTTAATTATCTACGCCTGATTTGGTAACTTTACCTCATGTTGGAAGACGACCGGTAACAAACCAGCAACTCCTCCAACCTGAACAAGCACACAACGTTTCTTTCAGCCCTCTCATACGACCCATAGGAGTCTCTCCTGAAGTAGCAGACCATGGTTGTCATGGTTACAATAATAAAATTCATGGACTGTACCGACAGCAACCTACATTTGTTGCCATGGTTACTACAATAGCGGTCATGGCTTGGTTAGGTTTAGGAAAAGATCGAGATTTGGGTTAAAAGAAGTACTTCCTCAACATTAGATGTCTTTGTTGTCATGGTTACAATATAAACAGCTGGTTCCACAATGGACCACCTGTGTCATATTTCTGTGTTTTGTTGACCCATCCATCCACCACAACCTCCTCCTGACGTGGACTTTTTCTCTTTATACTACGTCACAACACTTTTCCCTTTGCTCCTGTCATAATTACTACGAGCACTAGATGTCGCCTAGCAACAAAATGTCACTATAGGTCATAATAAACTGGTTCACAGATGACTTTTCCTTGGTAGCTACCTGTTAGCCAATGTGCTAACAAACTGGTTAAAGGAATAGTTCAACATTTTAAGAAATGCGCTGTCTTGCAGAGAGTTAGACAAGAAGATCAATAGCACTATCATGTCTGCACACTAAATACAAAGCTAGAGCTAGCAGGTGGCTAGGTTAGCTTATCTTTAACAATACAAAGTTGACAAATCTGTCAACCAGCAGCTGAAACTATTTCCTGACTTCTAGGAAACAGTTCCAGCACGTGTCGCTCTGCTGAAACCACAATTTAGCCAGAAAACAAAGAAGCACTTTTTCCAAAATATCAAATTATCCTTTTAATTTGGCGATAAATTTGAGTGAGTGTCACTGTAAGAATCAGGATGATCGTGGATAACACACCCAGCTCTGCCTCCTGAGCTCCTAATCTCTGCAGCTCATTGCAACAGGCACAGTCAGACTCACTTACTACATATCACATTTCACTGTGTTGCTGGGATAGTTTCTGAGAAGTCATACTGAGTAACATCCTGCTATTGTATCTGTCACACACACACACATATGTGCAGGAGATGACTGTATTGTCTGAGCACTGAGGACTAATCTCTGTTCTACCTGAGCAGTTATAATCTCTGCATGAGAGGAAAAACGGCAGACTGCAGAAAGTCTGGCTGCGTCTTCTTACAACTGCTAATAAAAGTGTTGAGGGCATCTCACTTTTCCTGAGCGTATTGAATTTGTGTATTGTGCTTCATCTGTAAATTAATTAGCTGGATTAATTTGGATTAACCCGTGAACATGAGCTGGGGTCCTGGGGTGATGTGTTTGACTCATCTCTAGAAGGAAGGACCCAGGCAGCTGTGATTCTAAAAGTAGCTCAGGAACCTTCATTATTTGGAGTCTCCCTCTCCTCCACATCCTGGGTTGGTCTGGTGAGGATGCTCCAGTCTCCTCCCACGGTCAAAAGACATATAGAGTAAGTCATGAGGGCTGGAGACTCCGAACTGCCTACAGGCATTGTGTGAGTGATTTTATGCCTCTACGTTCAGGCTGGGAGAGCAGCTCTTCTCTCTGCCCTCTGCATGCCGGGACAGACTCCAGCCCTCATGGGACCCTGACAAAAATGAAGCCAGCAGGGAGAATGAGTGAATGCCTCTACAGTATGCATGGCAGTATGTCAAATGCTCACGTCTGAGGGGGGCACTGCCATTCAGCTCATCAAACTAGTGTGTCAGCACCTATCTGCCATGCTGAAGTGTCCTTGAGCAAGTTACTGAGTCTCTACCGGCTCCAGAGACATTGCAGTGTAGCTGAATAAGAAGAAGTGTGTTTCTCATGTCTGCAGCAGATAAAATACAAACATTATTTAGTCTCCTCTGCTAGTGTTATTATCTTATTATGTACAGGATATTTATATGGGAACAAAAAGATTTAGAAATTGATAATGATATATGACCCCACCTCCGATAACTTGTACTTTTTCTGTGTGGCAACATAACAGTGAAACGATGCTTTATGATACTGGAACTAATGAGCAGAGGAAGAGACAAGGGAGATGAGAAGAAACTCAATATACAACACAACAAGACTCTGAGGCACAGTGCTGCTTTGAGCTCAAGGCTAACGTCAGCACGCTAACATACAATGTGATAAAAAACTGCAGTTCCTCTAATGACCACTAGACTAGACTCATTTTTTAAGTGGCTAAAACACATTTTTCTTTCTTTGTCTTTCAGATTCATCCTGTGGGGATCATGAATGTCTGTTCAACGTGGAAAACCACCCGATAGTTATTGGGATGTTTCAGTCTGGATCAAAGCGGCCGACCGACAAATGCTGCCACCCAGTGAGCCACGTCGAGCGAGGCTAGAAAGTGTAGCCTAATTATATCAATTAGATGTGATGAACTGCTGTGAACATGAAATGAAAGACTGATTGTTTTAAAATGAAAGCTTCATATCGGCGGACCTTCTCTTCCGCCCTGATGAGAATACGGAGGAAGCAAAGGTTTTAAAACCGCCACGAATGTGTCGACGTTATCCAACCATGGCTCTGCTGCTCCTCTTTCATCCGTGTTTGTCAGGAAGTTCAGGATGTTATTGATCCTGACAACATTAGGCATGCGAAATAAAGAATATCAGGGTATTGATTTCCCTTTTCAGAAGTGATCTCCTCACATCTCTTTCATCTAAGCTTATGTAACTGCCCCCGTTATCCACTTCTGCCTCAACTAGTGTATAGTGCCACACATTTTGAGGCGTAAAAAGAGATACAGGAGGAAGCTACACACAGGCATCAAAGGGTCTGTGCAGATCTTCCTCTAATCCATACACACAGAATGTAAAATGGTTCTCTATGTCAGCCTGTTTATTTTGGCTCAGAGGTTTGTGTCTGTACATCATAATCTATTTACTGCAGTGCAGAATTTAGATGGTAAATTATTATTAAACTGTACGCCTACATTTTAAACCGTTCTTCTTGGCTCTGTGTCAAAAGCTTAAAATCTTGGCTTCCTCCTCTTTTGCTCCTATGCATGCTCAAACATCAACCGGGACAGGCAGATGTATACACACACACACACACACACACACAAAGACAGGGACACTAACAAACACACAGGAAAAGACAGAGAGCTGCCCGCAGGCCTGCTGCTGAGTGTCAGCTCTTTGTCCTGAATGCCCAGGGAAACACTTGGGGAAGAGAAGCCAGCTCTATTTGAAGGATGAACTTTGGCAGCCTGCTGAGCAGTAAGGAGCACAGATATGAATTTAACACACAGCATGTTCTCAGAGACGCAAACAGACACGCACCCACAGAAGCCGAAATGCTCTGAGATGACGATGCAGAGACTCGGTGATGGGGTTTCACCTGCATCTTTTCACAGGATAGACTGAGCGCTGCAAATTAACCAGCCTCATGAAAAATTCAGTCTGACTCCAGCATCTGAGAAGCATAAAGTAGGAACAAAATGTAATCTTGTTGGAGGACTTGAGCTCTTAAAAATCTCTTCAACTGGGGAACTTTAGTTGGATGGCTCCACTCCAGCTTTGATAAATATCTCTGTGTTGCAAATGGAGATGAATGCCCAATAAAATGTCCTTCTCTAAGAGCAGGTGCTTTAGATTTAACATTCAGCTGCCTAAAAAGATAAGTATGCTGCTGTGACTTGACCCAGCTGGACCTGGCAATTCTGACTCAAGGTCTGAGTCAAACCTTCCTACCTGTGATCAGAGTGGCCTACTCCCGCATTCCCCTTTAAGTCCTCGTTTGCTATTCAAAGGAGCACAGGAGAAGCTGAGCACAGCTTTGGCATTTCCTGTTGCGTTTATTTTCATCAGTTTCTCCTGGCACAGTGTCCTGCTCCGCTGGATCCTGCTCTCCACACTCCTTCCTCTCCTGCTGAACGGCAACTGTCACGGGGAGCTCGGGTGCAGATAATATGAAGTGTGCATGATGCTTGTGTCAACGACAGCTTGCTATAGTCTGATGAACAGAGTCTTGGCTGAGTAGGTGAGGATTTCATCTAATGCTCAGTCTCCATTTGAGTGCAGATACAAGCTGCCGACCTCTCATTTCACATTGTTGCACACCATTGTCTCATTAACTGCACCTTGTGCAGCTCTTTGCGCTGTGTTGAGAACTTCTGGGACGCGTTTAACCCATCTCACTCTCTTTAATTGCTGTGGAAACTCTAGAAGCTCTTTTTAGTACCCCCTTTGGAACGACATTTTGTTTGATGTGGGTTTGATGTGGGTTTAAAGTGGATTCAGCACAGACACACACACACACACACACACACACACACACACCCTTAAAAATACACACAGGCAAACTTGCAAAAAGCAAGCAGATAAATGTGCATGAGCAACCTGACAAAAACAGAGAGAAACATATTCAGATCTCACCTGCACTGTGAGAGAAAAAAGGACAAATAGGAAGATGTGCATTCTCTCTGACACCATGTATTCACCTGCCTTTCCTCCCACTTTGCCGACCTACACAATACACCTACACACCAGCTCTGAAATCCTCTTCATGCAGACGGATTCATCTGACACATTTTATTCCTTTGTTTTGTCCTTCGGTGTGCTGTTCATCATTTTGCGATGAGCTTGATGTGGTTGAGGGCATTTTCTTTTTTAAGAAAGAAAAAAAAATCACAGCTGTGGATAATTGCCAGGTTCTTTGCTCATCTCATCATAAAAAAACCCACCACAACAAGTGAAGCCTGCTCATCATTCAGCCAACACTTCCACACAGCGCTCAGGAGAAGAGCTGGAAAGACATCGTACTTTCACCCTTCCTCCCTGCTCTTTTCATCAGCTGCTCTGCTGCTGCCTCCATGAACCCTATTGTAAAAATGATCACACATGCACCTGTTTCAGGAGCTGCACAACCCTCATCCCCTCTTTGTTTCTGTGGAAGTCACTGGTCTGATTTTCCTTCCTCTGCTCTGTCACTCACACACGCTTCCTTTGTTTCCTGCAGTGGAGTTTTCATTGCTCTGCAATACAATGAACTCCCATATAACCTCCGCAGAGATAGCACAGCTCTGCCTGTTAATTCTGCAGTCATTCATAGAAAGCTGCTTCTTCTCCTTCTCCTTGTTCTTCTTCGTTTACATCAGCCACATTGTTTCATTATCTGCCTCACAATTATATCCTCTTATCCTCCCACATCGTCCCTCTGTAAGATCTCAACTTGTCAGAGTGAACGTATCTGTGACTCATTAAAACCGTCTTTTTATCCTTTCGGGGTGAATAGACAACCTACAGTAATCTACCAGGACTGTTTAACAAACCAACGTGTGGGCTGAGATGTTTGATCAAGTTATTAGAGGCAACAACAAGACATCGCATCAAGAAAGAAGATCTGCTCACATGGTCTCATCGTTCTGAAACTCCAGCTTGCCCGACACCTCCTCGTAGTCCTCCCCGGCCTTGGCGGTGCCCTCGGCGGTGTGGTAAGGCACCGCGACTTTCCCCCTCGCTCCGGACGTCCGGTGAACCTTCACCTGCATGTTGCCTACGCTCTCGCTGACCCTCATGGAGTTATTTTCAAACGTGAAAATGCCAGCGTGGTCGTCGTCGTAGATGGTAACCGTGGCGGTGTGAGCGTTGCCCAGGGCTGCCTTTGGAGGAACGTGGGAGGAGATGCCCACCGTGCTGTTGCTGGAGGTGATGGAGCTCGGCTCCAGGACGGAGACCTCAGCCCGGTGCACTATACGTGGGTTACTGAGGCGCACGTAGAAGTGCTCATCCTCTTCAAAAATGTCATCATCGATAACGCCAACAGTGAATTCCTTCGTCGTCTCGCCAGGTTTGAAGACCAAGGTGCCCTCAGCAAACTCATAGTCTGAGCCTGCGTTGGCAGTCCCGTCCTCTGTCCGGTAGTCCACCTGTGTGGCACAGGGAGGGAGAGAACTTTATTAAATATTTAGTGACCGGGGTTATAATAAAATGCTGAATTATTAATATTTCAGTTGATTTTAAATTGACCCCGAGCATTTACAATATTCCAATCATTACTTTGCCTCTTACCTTCACCGTGCAGCCGCTCTCTCCTCCATGCCGGCTCACCGACAGCTTCAGTGAGCCACAGTTCTCAAAGCACTGGTAGTGAGAGGGGTCGAACTGCAGGTAGATGGTGTTGGGATCTTCCTCTTGCCCGCTGGCCTCATGACAGCTCACCACCTTCCTGGCCTGGTCGGCGGCGTGCTTTTTCAGGATGTTCCCAGCTCCGATCATCATGCGAGTGGCTTGGATGCGATAGAAGGCCCGACTCTTCTGTTGCTGGACTAGCACTTGGTAGTTGGCCATCTCAATCAGCTGCTCCATGTCCTTCTCCGGATGCCTCTGCTTTAAGTCCTTCAGAGTGCGGGCCATCTCCCGTCGGGCTTCTTCCTCTTGATCTTGCTCCGCGCTCATCCCTCCACCTTCCTCCACCCCCTCCAGCATCCCATCCAGAGCCTCTTTGGGATGAGTGTGGGAGTTCACACCCTGGCCGTCCATCTCCAAGTCCATTTTAGTGAACATGGCATCTCCCTCTGACTCGATGATAATGCCGCGGGTCTTGTCAGCGCGATAACGCTTGTTGACGTACTTGTAGAAGAGCAGGCGCCGGTCTGCGATCCAGGCTTGCAGCACACAGAGAGGGAAGAAGAGGAAGGTGAGAACGGCCTCCCAAACCTCCACCTCTCCGGGGGAGAACACCGACAGGATGAGATACAGCCAGATGTAGGCGAACACGCTCCAGGCGGCGGTGACAAAAAACACTCGCAGGTGCTTTATCTTGCGCGTCTCGTTTTCTGGCACCACATAGACACAGATAGCGATGATAATGAACATGTTGAACGCAGCGCTGCCCACGATGGTGCTGGGACCCAGAGATCCGGACTCAAAGTTATGGCCGACCACCTCGATGACAGACAGCAGGATCTCAGGTGCTGATGAGCCCAGCGCCATCAGGGTCAGGTTGGACACCGTCTCATTCCAGATGCGCACAGTAGTCGTCGTCGTCTCACCGTTGGGCTTCTTGATGGTGATCTCCTTTTCCTGAGAGGTGATGACCTCGATAGAAGACATGAAGCGGTCCGCGATGATAGACATGCCCAGGAACATGTATATAAGTGCTGCAAAGTAAACAATGGCGCGTGCCACCTTGTCGCCCACCGCAGGGTTTTGGGGGTTCCACATGGGCAGCACCACACCTTCAGAGCAGTTGTTGTCACTGGAGCAGTTGCCCGCTGCGCTGCCGGCATCTTCATGGCCGGCGCTGCCCTGGGAGAAATGAGTGACTCCCGGGAGCAGAACCAGCAGAAGAGACATGAACATACATGGGCTGACAGGTGGAGAGCAGTTCAGGATACGCTTGTGCAGTAACATGGCGAGCTGATGAGGCTTGGAGTCGTCTGATGTTCAATCCTCGTCACATGTGAAGGTCTTTACAAACCTCTGAAAGACAGAAGAAAAAGAAAGCAGATTGTTACAGTTCAGCTGTTCTTGAAATAACTCAAGGAAAGGGTTAATATCACAAAAGTCCTCTGTCATGCTCTTTTGTATGCAAATGATGTGGGATCCAACGGCTTGGATGGTCCGAATTTGGAAAGCTAAAAATATTGGCACCTACTAGTCGTTGAGTCACTGGCATTGAACTACCATGTCAGACTCCCACACATGTACTGTGGTCATTGTGTGCTGAGCAGCGGTAAAAATGTTACCCTCTGCACCTGTAGTATTGAGGGAAACACTGACTCAGTCCACCGTGTTCTGTCAGGTTAGATGGGATTCCAAAAATAATCTTCACTGACAATGAGTCTAACAAGAAAAGAGCAGTTGTTCTGAGGCAGTCCAGACCTCCTGATATAGATATTATAAGATTATTTAAAGGAGAAACAACCCTGGTCTCTCATGGAAGTGCAGCAAAGCTCTATTCAATGCTAGAAAAGTGTAGCAAACATTTTTTCTCATTTTACATAAGCCATTTAAAATATGTCAGGGGACATCTTAAAATAATTTCAGTGTTTTTCTTGGCAGCAGCAGCACGACCATATTCACAGTTTGAGTGAACAATTGAGGGAGAACAGCATCAATACTCTCCAGAGGATTAACATCTGCATCAGTGTGAACGGAGAGAAAGAGAGGAAAGAAACACCAGGGAATGTAATCTAGTGCTTCCTAATTAAATTTTTAAGACCATCTCTGTCTCAAAAATAGGTTGCCTACCTGAAGCAGAAAGGATGTGACAATGCTTTATGTACAGCACATGCTCTCATTGACATGCAGCTGAGAAAAGCTGCAATCTCCACTCTGACCTGCATAACAAGAGTGCACGTTCTCCATCAGTTTCCATCAAGGCTACATTTCAGGGTGAAGCAGTGCAGCATGGCTCTAGAAATTACATTTTTTTTTTTTTCTGGTTACCTTATAAATAAATGAAGAACAGATTGCGTTTGTGCAACACAACAGCTTCATGCAACAACTCAACACCTGTCTGCTGAGTGGAAAGATCAGCACCATGGACAGCAACTCCTGCAACAGCCCATAGTGTTAGAGCCAAGAGAACAAGATGTGTATTTCGTGTAATTTGAGAGAATTAAATATTCCACAATGATAGAACAACAATAATGCATAATATAATATAATATAATGCTTTCCCCTGGCAAACAACCCTGCACAAATTTTGAGTGGGTGACGTTTCTATGGTAAACGCTCTCCAACTGGTGGGAATGCAGGGATGAAGCGTTTTATTTTTTATTTTTCACAGTAGCTACTATAGAGACAAACGTGTCCTTTCTAGTGGTTTCATTCCTCGCTGAGATCACCAGGTAGCAGTGAGCTAACAAGGGAACTTACTTTTAGAAGTACTCTGTCAGTTTTCCCTTAAGAACACAGTCATTTCTGGTTAACACAACAACAGCTTTTTATAATCTATAATGCACATCTCCAGTTTTACCAGACATTTCATAGAATGCAAACCCCCTGCTGGAATATCACTGGTCCAAAACCACAATCCCCTACTAATATTCTCTTAATCCTCTTCTATTATTTAACATTTATCCTTTTTTAAGAGCAATCTCACTTCAACTGCTGACAAGCCCAGCAACATGTGACCTTTCGATCTCATACAGTTTCTCATGTAATCTTCAGTCATTCCAAAATTATCCAAATATTTAAATAAATACCTCTGATTTAATCCTCAGAAGTGTTCCTGTTTGGTAAGCAGGGGTCTCGGGTTGGCAAGTAAACACTTGTACATAATGACTCATATTTTTGATGCCAGCACTGGTTTTGTGAGAGAAGGTGTTTGTTTTTTTAAATGCTGGCAGTCTCAATTAGTAATGAGAGTCCTCATAAATGTCACATCTACGATCTTGGGAATGAAAAGTCATTAAAATAAGAAACAGAAGGAAAATGAAGCAGAAACAAGGTGTAAACAAAGAGGGAAACTGGCTATTAGCAGAAAACATAATTCCCTGTGTTGACCAAACACTAGGTTTCCATGAGTAAACAGAAATCTAAGCGAAGATGACAAGTACTATTGGTTTTCAACTTTGCATTCAGGTATGAGCTTCAGAAAACTCCAGGTGCTCATGCAGGAATATGCTTTATGTGTTGGTTTATGTTTCCTGTTCTTGATGTTATAAGAAAGTGTATTACTCACCTGGGTGCAGTTGTCAGTGAGTCAGCTCCGTGTGGAAGTTATGGCCTCAGGAGATGAACTTATCTTTCATATTGCTCTGTGGAAAGACAGCTTCTCTTAAATTAACAAATTGTGGGAGAGTTTTAAAATCAGCAACAGAACTAACCAGAAAGGATTCCACATCAGAGAGTTTTAAGAAGCTTATTAAAAGCCAGATATGTGGGGCTGTAGATTTAGCAGCTGGAGTGGAAAAAAAACAAATGAAACATCAGTGTTGCAGACTAGAGACAAAGCAATATATTAAGTTACAAATGGGTTCTGAGACAACTGGATTATTGGACATTACAGATGCAGGAAAAAGGGCGATTATCCCATCAGCAGGCTGCAGAGAGACAAACAGACCGCTCCATTTAGTGCGCACAGCAGTCCCACAGATACTCACAGAAAGCCCTGAATCTCAGCTGGACCCTGGTCACAGCGTGGCTACCCTGCACCACTTCAACACAGGAAGACACCCCGTGTGCCATTCACACAGCAGGCTGGTGTAATGGTGTTGGCTTGTTGCGCTGGTGTCTTGGAAATGACGCGTAGCTTTCCACGGTGCTTCTTCGCTATTTTTTTTCCTGACAGGTACCCGCACCTACCTCAGCAAACTTAACACTGTCGGATTAGTTCCTCTTATTAAATCCCCCCTTGTTCCAGCGCGGCGACACCTTCCGCAAAGCTAAGTAATTTTTCAAAAACCACAATGCGTTCTCAGCTTTATCCTCTCCAGGCTACGTGCGATTGTTGATGCGTAAAATAATAAATTAAATTACTGTGTCTGTCCTCATTGGTCCCGCTTGTATCAGTCAGAAATTCTTCAAAATAGTCATCTTTTAAAAGGCTCTGAGGGTGTTTTCCCTCTCCGGAAAATAAACTGAGTGAAAAAAAATCCCTTGCTTTTCTGTCTGAGCTGGATAACGCAAAGAGCCAAACTGGACTGCACATGAGAGTAGGCGTGAATGAATGGTGAGGGATTGAGAGGACGCAAACCACACAGTACACGGTTCAGGACAAGATGGATAGCAGAAGGATGGTGGCAGACAAGAAAGAGGAGTGTGTGGTGCTATGCAAATGGAAGTCTTGTCTTACTCTTGCGGTGGGCAGCATTGGCACAAGAAACGATGAGCGAGATGGAAAAGCAGTAACACTGCAGAAACAGGGGAGGAGACGTTCAGAAACAGCGCTACACGCACGGCAGGTCCTCCTGACTGCGCATCAGGAGTCTAGTATGAATGACCATTTCACTCCTCAACCCTCTTTTATTTTGCTCATTATCGCTGTCAACCATCAGCACAGCTACAGATAACCTGCTGTAACCTAAAAACTGGAGATGTGATATTCGTTTTGAGTCAGTCCCAGATGTTGTTGCCTGTAAGTCTGCTGTGGGTTGATTTTTGTTACAGTCTGGATGGTTATTGACAGAGATGTACTACAGAAGAAAACACACACACACATACTGAGTTTCACCCTGACATTAATTCTGATATATAAATTCATGATACATATTATTATAAAACTAATAGAAGTTAAGAACATGATCAGTTGTAAAGATTCCTGCACTGGTGAAACATTGATACACAACTTTAAAGCCTGGGTCAGAAACTAAACACAAAGGTCAGTCACCTTGTCATGAGTAGACATGTCTTCTGTAGGTCTTTCTAAAGCCTGAGAAAATAACCCAGATGATGTCATAGTGATGTCATCAGGACTTTCTTGAGATAGATAGATACTTTATTAGGCTTGAGACCTCAAATATTTGACAAGAAACCACGGCCATTAAAAAGATGAAGGTATTCAACAGTCTAATAAAGATGCTGCTGAGTTACATTATGGGAATTGTAGGTCCCAGTGTTTTAGTGGTTTGGCTGATATTAAGGACTTAAAGTCGGGACATCGTTGCCTCTTGATTTTGACCATTTTGATATGAGCCCTCATCTTTAGAGAAATGCAGTAATAAAATAAATGTATTTCTCTATATCGTCAGACTTGGCTGAACGTTCAATAATTTACGCTGTACTTAGGCTACATAAGCTAAGCTACGCTTTTAGCTGAATCCTCATGGTAGAATGCTAACATGCCCTCAGATAGTATGTTTACATGTATTTACATTTACAATTATTCAGTGTCAACATGCTGATGTCTCATTTAGCATATTAGCATGCTCAGTCATCTCAAAGTGCATGTGATTCTGTTTTCAGTCATTAACTGAAGGCAAGTGGATATTTTGGCCTGTGAGGTGATCGCCAGCATCATTAGGATTAATCCTCTATGTGCCATGACTGGAGTGTTGGTCCACAGTGTGAAAAACAACACTGCCATCCCCAGAGCTACACTGCTAGTAAAGCTAAAAAATATAGCTTTCATTTGGATAAAATTCATTTAGTTTTTATTGGTGGATGATTGCCTGTGATAACGGTGGAATGGAGGCTGCAGATTACCCAACTGACGGGATGGTTATGGCAAACCTCGGAGAGAAATAAAAGAGATTACACTGAGATCTGGAGGACAGAAAACACCAGAGGAGGGGAAACACCCCAAACACCATGAGGAGGAGCAGCATGCTGGAATCTTCTGTTCCTGCAGAGACGACCTTAAAGCCACAAGCTGAAACCCATGGAACGGTTTGTGTTGTTGCCTGTGGAGACTGTGGTCGCGTAAACCTCGGTGTTCATTCCAACACATCCTGGACACTGCTGATAAAACAGATAAGTGCCCAAACCTGCCTGTCGACACACAAGTAAAACAATCCACCCTCATTGATTTCAGCAGATGTGTTGCAGCAGAGAGGTTCATCTTTTCAAGATCAGCACCACAGCAGCTTTATCATTCATTCACTGTGAGGAAGAGTCAGATAGTGATACTGTACATGTGCCCATAGCTTGAGAGAGAAGCAGGTGCTGCGCAGTGTCTCTCATGATACTGATGGGTCCTTCCCCCCACACACACACACACCATCGCATTCTCCAGTGAGTTCAAATCAGTAGATACAGTATATTTCAGTCATTCAGCACCACGGACAGCACCACAGACCGGCGTGATGGTGACGTTGGATGGAAGTAGCAGCAAACCTAAAAATGGTTTGAAACCACATGTAAAATCTGTAGGGATTCATTTGAAGAGTTCATTTAACTTATCACTCATATTTATCTCTCTCATGCCATTATTGATGAAGAAAAGAGTTTTTTGGAAGTGGGAGGGGCAGCATGAGTGTCCAATAACTGCTGGAATATGTGAACCTCAGTTTTCTGATGTAATATAAGAGAAATTCATGTTGTTGCAGCCACAAGCCAAAGCGTTTGTGATTTATTTTCTGTAAAGCAGCTTCTTGGTCTTCTGTGATTTCCACTCCATCTGCGCCCTCTGGCCATGGACTGCAGCACTTTGATGCATTTTGTTTGGCTCCTCATTGCATCAATGTATATGAAACAATATTGTTACAAAAAAAGAGATTTTGTTGTCTTTCACAGAGACAAACAGTCTGGTCTTTTGCAAAACTTTTTTTTATGATAAACATGCAAAAGTCCCTAAAACCTCTTCTCACAGCATGTGTTTTTCCTGCCTTTAAAGGCAGCTAAGGCTGATTACACTGGTGGATCTGGTGGTGGTGATTGTCGCTTCAATGAGAGCTTCAGCCGTTGTTTAAATAATGAAAGAGTTTACGTCCTCTGAGCAGACTATGTCTTCAGGGCAGATTGGAGGCTGCAGCGAGTCGCTATCGGAAAGTGACACGACTGGCAGGAACGGGCCAGGGCTACCTCGTTAGCATGCTAACTTCAGCTGGAAAGAAGTGATAGGAACAATAGTTGACATTGCTCTCCACCACTGGACACAGCTCTTTGTGAATATAACAATGAAGTTTGATACTGAACTCACAACGTTTCTTCTAGACTGGTAAATAAGCAGCTGTTTACGCTAACGTTAGCTATGTAGCGATAGCAAAAGTTACAAAGAGCTCCTTTAAGCGCTCTTGAGCAAGTGACTGAATTCGTGCTAGCTTAGGTGGTGTTATTCTGACCCCGACTTTTGATGTTTGAGGAAGAAGACGAGAAGTTAAAACCTGAATAGGAGATGGAAGAAATATAACTCGACAGGTAAGGATGGCAACAAGTGGATGAACCTATAAAAACGTGTCTTTATTTCCCCTAACAAAGACTGTCCACATTCCTCAGGTGACTAAAGACGAAGTAAATCACGATCTATCTAAATCTTTGAGGACATCACAAACTGTTTAAGCGTACAGATGCTTGAAACAGCAGCATCAGGGTGACATGGAAATTAAAAGTAAATTACCTAAAAACAGATTGTGCTTTTCTTTGCCAGGAGCCGTCCATGAGATTCACTGTGGTGGGATTTCTTTTTAGAGAGAAGGACAGGTGCTGGGACGCATTTATTAAATTACACACACTGTGATAATATACATGGCATCTGAATCCCTGCTGTCTCAGTGCAGTGTGCAGTGTCCTGATGTGTCGTGTTTTTTATCCTCAGTTTGTGTTCCAGCTGAGTTTGTGTTACAGCTGTTTGTTTATTTTGGTTTCTTTTAAAGGGCCGCTAAATGGACTCTCAGATAGGAGACAAGTTTCATATAAATCCTTATCCTTATCCTTGTTCTTTTCAATAACTAGTGATACTGGTTAAAGAGAAGTTACTGCTGCATAACATCAACAACAGGAAACATGAAGATGTCTTCCAGGACTGTCTGAACTGTATTTAAAAGGCACAGAGCATTTGATTTCTGGTTAAAAGCCAAAAAGCAACCTTACTGGAGTTGTTTGTGTTGCTATGGTAACAGCTCTCCTACATTGTACCAATGGATGTTAAGGGTGTTTTATCGCTGTGGTCCCAACGAGCCACTTTTTGGCACACACTCGTATGATAGAAAATATTTCTGCACATTTAGATCCATGCAGTGTTTCCACTTTCATTTTCTGAGCCTTCGGTCAATCAGACATTCAGATCTCTCAGACCTTCATCAGTCATCACTTTTGGCTCAAGCTAAAAAATATTTTTTGCTTGTAATAAATCAATTAAAAGTAGAATAATATTCAGTAAACCGCTTACTGATGCTTCTGTGACTGGTGACAGTGTGAGTTGTGTGTAGTCACTGTTGCCTTCCACCATCAAGGTCAATAGAGAGTCTCTTTGTTTCTATGAGCTTATTTAAAACAGTTTAAAACACTCACATCTGTTTGTGTCTTTTTTGTTCGTCTGACACAACAAGCCAACATCTATGAACTTCATTGCTTGTGCAGATGTCTGCAAGGTCAGAAAATGCATCATAATCCTTCTGTATCACAGTGATATAAGGGATCATGTCAGGACGTGCTGTGTCCTGTCAGACAAGAAGCTCAGCCAGGAGGCCGAGAGGTTCCTGACCGGCAGAATCTGTGCACCATTAACCACATCACAAAGCTGTTTGCTGTTATAAGCTCGTCACTGAGGAGCTGCAAGCCTAAATTTATGCATTTAGTGTTAATGCCTCCATGCCACATTGCGCCCTGCGAGAGCTCTGCTACATGACTTTGATTTTTATCTCTCTCATCGTTAAAGTGATCAATAAAGCAGTTAGAGGAAAACATTTCATTTAGGTCCAAAAGTGCAGCAGGTCAGGGGACGTTAAATTGATCCCACCTTGTTTTTCAGCGTGCTGGTAGCAGAGCTGATGACTTCCACACCCTTCTCTACCCTTGGGATGGTCTGGATTCCACTAAACACTGCCCTCAGCTGCTCACTGCTCTGCTGCAGCTGTGACCAGGCTCTGCCTTAAGACCCACTGAGCTAATGTGACTGGGGTTAATGAGGTATCAGTCCAGTTTGCTGCCATAATGCCCCCTGTTGTAGATCTTCAAATCTAGGTGCAGATTAAAAGAATTGACCTTTACTTTTTTACACATAGCAGTTCCT